ATCCAGAGAAGACAAAAAGGTTAACAGAGTCAACAATGAAAAAAATACTTCCTCAATATTGACCAAACAGGCAACACATCTAACAGAATTTAAGGCCTTAGCTGTTTTGACTTTTTCCTCAGTTATCTCACAGTAAATCCATGATTCCTGTATTTGTTTTGTATGGTAGTCTTCTATTAGAACCTGCTTTTGTGTATAGTACAGTAGCCAGTTCAGTATTAACTACTAGAGCAGCAAACACGATTCTTCAGTGGCCTTTCCTGACTTTTGGTAAGCCTCGCAATCTCTGACTCTTATGGGTAGTTAGAGGGTAGTTAGAATGGGAATAAGCATCTAAGATTAAGGGACTTTGGCATAAAGTTTTGTTTAACTTCACAACCCATTGCAGCAGAACTTCTGCTATGGTTTTCCTTCTCATCAGCTTCCCTATTTTACCTTGTGAAATTTGGATCTATCAGTTGCATGATACCAATCAGATACGGCAAGAGGACAACTGCAGTTTCCAATGTCTATGATCAAAGACCAACACTGGATTGAGTATCATATCCATCTAGACATGGCATGAGAGAGGATACCATAAAAAAAAAAGTGGTAAGGAAAGGCAAGAAAACCAGTTACAGCTGTACTTATAGCTGCATTTCCTCTTAATTAAGAGGAAATCAGTCTGTTTATCAAATTCAAAATGCAAGCCTACTTACAGCAACACAGAGGATAGCCAGAAGCTGTTACAAATGACAGATGCTATTCTCAACTGTCCTTCAAGCAGGCATCCTGCATTTTCTTTGTCAACAAATGCGATTTGGTTTTGCCCCTAGTATGAAGAAAGAAGTTTGAGTTTTTTCTCTGGAAAATATTAACCCCAAAATAAAATCTGAACTTACCCTTCCAGCAGGCTACTAGAGCTCTACAAATAAAAGGAAACATTGGAAGATTTTAAGAGGTGCTGAACATTTGTTTTGAAGTTTTATTACAAAAATATATTTGCAAACATACAAAATTCTGGATGAAAAAATGCTCATTCTTAAACATTTATGCAATAACTTAATAACTGCAAACATACATAGGTGCTATAAAATCCATACCATACCAAAAATGTTAATGATGCAGTATCTACATTTATTGATGTACAATTATTCTCATTCCGGTTTCCAGAAATCTTTCCTGAAGCCCTCCCTTCCCCATGGTCTTCATATTGAAAGAACATGCAAATGGGTACAACTGGTTCATCCACAAAAGTGATAAAACTCAGAAATTAATGAAAGCACATAATGTACATAAAAAACCTAAACTAACCATATGCCCATACACTGAATAGATAAAAATAAATACACCAAATTAGAGATACTGCAATTTTGCCAACTTGAAGTGAAAGGAAGATATTGCATCTTAACATTTTCCTAACTTTGCCAGACAAAACTGAGGTGATATATATTGCACACATTCCTCCTGTTAAGATATGCTGTACAAAGCAACCCAAATACCTGGCAAAAAGGTGGCTGATTTGTTTAGAATACTTTTAAAAATAAGAAGTCCCAAGTTAAAGTTTCTTTTCTAAAATATTTCAGAAATTATATCAGTGACTACATATGGCATAATGGGTTTCAGAAATCTACCAAAATGAAGCAATTAGTAATGCAAGCAAAAATGAGAAACATCCAGCAGCAAAAGTTTAAACATTATATTGATTTTTTATACAGATAATTAAACATTTTGTACGAAATCAAAATGAATCACTTTTTTAAACTTTATTCAATCATTCTGCAAATCTTGTTTAATTTGGAAAGATATACTGCTTCTAAGCTAATAGCTGTTAGGCACCTTTCATATAAACTTTGCATTATTAAATAACAACAGATAAAGTCTAACTACAAAACTGAGAATTTTTATTTTCCTGAACAATTCAGCAGCTGTAGGTTTTAAAACTGTCTTTGATTGGGTTGGGGGGGGGGCGTGGGTGGGTGGTGTTTTTTGGTGTGTTTTGTTTTGTTTTTGTTTGTGTTTTTTTTTTTTTACAGTGACTTAATGCTAGCCACAAACCACATACTTAGCTAATACAATTAATTTGGGGAGTGTAGTCTAACTAATAATCTTTCAATTCTCAGAACTAATACGTAAAATCCCATTAACCCAGCAGTTTTACAAAAAAAAAAAACCACCCCACCAACAACCCCAACAAATCACTTGAAAATGGTCGCAATAATTTCCTGTGATGACTCATGGTAACTTGCTACACACTAGTTGTCCCCATATGTGGATAACACAAATCAAGCACTTTGACAAGCTGGTAATTTCAGATCTATAGAAAAAGTTAAAATAATCAGGGAAAAAAGTTGTTAAGTAACACAGTCCACATTTAAAAAAAATTCACAATACTTGAGCTTGTGTTTTACAATGTAACTTTTCATTAAAGAGGTTTATCTGTTAAACCCACTACCCTGGCACTTGTCATCAATCTCTCTGGTGTATTGGATGACACCTAGGTTGGTTCCAGTTGTCTGTTGGCTACATGTAGAGAAGTTCGAACAAACATGTGCAGGCATTCAAGATGAACAGGTTTGCTTGTTGTAAAAATGCCTGCCTAGTACCTATGATTTCAACTCTGTTTCTCTTCCAATTCATTTTGAACACTGGAGGCGGGGGGTGTGTGGGGGGGGAACTAAGCCAATAATGTATTGCTACTAGTATACTACAAAAACAAAAGTAAAGTAAGAATGTGCCAACTGCTTGTGGGGGTTCCTGGACAACTGGAGACAAGTTCAGGATATTCAAAGTAGAGTCAAACTCTCATAACAGCATTGCTATTCTAAACAGTATTACTTTTGTCAACTGCATATAACTGAAGAACTCAAAATACAACTCCGTCCTATCATTTCTATAGATCTTTGGATATGACTGTATTTAGCAAACAGTACAAATATGCACTATCAGCTTCCAATATTTCTATTCTTAGAAACTTTTATCAAATCTTCTTTTGAAGAAACCAGAAGCTGTCTCTAAGAAGTGAGAAGTTACAGATTTCATCTTTACTAAATCCAGATACTAAGGAACTGTCTATTTGGTTTAGGCTATCCATTTTTGTTCAGAGGAACTGTTCATTGGTTTGTCCCTTTTAGTGAAACTTTCTCTAAAAAAAACCCAACGAAACAAATTAGTTTAGACCTTAGATCTAATTTGAGTCTCGTTTATGCACATACACAGTATTATAACTCTAGAATTTATCCTATCTTCCTTAACAAGGCTGAGTTTATATTGCTGAATTCAAATGCTACCATTAAAGCCAATATATTTTTTGATCAATGTGCATGATGTTAGCATCTTTCCCTGAATCTTGCACATTTTTCTAACAAAATACTATATATTTTAACTGGAAACACTGAACTCAAAGGCTGAGAAGAGCTTTTCAGAAGGCAGGTAGTGCTAAACAAAATGTATTTTCCACTAAAAAGCTACAAAAAACCTAAAATAGATCAAATACATAAAAATGTAAATATTTGTTGTATCTAAAACATATCAATTTGTGAACAAGTCACAATTAAAGCTCAATTACTAGTTCCCAATGAAATGACCATGCACCTTGACTATGTCAGCATTAACTAATCCTTAGGATATATATACATACATATATGTTGTAAGGAGCTAAACAATTTTTTTCTTCATATTTCAATAGTGCTTGAGGGAAAAGAAAGAAGCAGTGCATCATAACTCACTACAGATTATCTTTTTACTCAATAAACCAAAACTTTTCTACTGGAAAAGCATCCTGTAAAACTACTATTGCTGGAAAAAGTTGGGATCTGAAGTCTTATTAATTACCTTTGCATGCCTTTAAGAAATAAATACAAGCCATGGGTAAACCAACACAGCAGCATAAGAAACTATGAATTAGAAATTTTCTGATTTCAAATGGGAAAGTATCCAGTTAAATTCTTACATTAGTGAATAGTGAATTACTAAATCACATATAACAAGCAGTAACATTTTAATTAGATAAACTTCAGACTATGAAGTGTGCACTAACAATTTGGAGAGAGGGCAACAGAAGAAAAGCATGCATTTGTTCCCCATCTGCATAGTTTTCAACACTGCAGTTCCAATGCAATTGAGGAATGAAAGCCAACTATGACATGGTCCATCCTTAAGCTAAAAGGGAAACAAAGTACTGAAATTATATCAAACACTACTGAACAGGAAGAGGGTGTCCCAGTAGTGATCTCCCAACTATAAAGCAAGAGAACGTCAATATGCAACAGAACTACTCTGCTGCTTAAAAAAAAAAAAAAACACAACAAAAAAACCCTACAAAAAACCCCCAATCACTGAGGATTTGGCATATTTCAAATTTTGCCTTTTTAGAGAAAATGGCCTTACTCACTTGAATACTTGTCTAATGTTAGTGACGCAGAAGCAAAGAAGATTAATGGAATATTTAAAAGATGAATTTATGTGTGTTAGCTAGAGGCTGTCAATGTATTGAGCAAATCACATATTTAAACCTTTTGTTAAAGATTTAGCTCCAAAGGCCTGGCTTCCTGATCTGTTCCTTCCCCACACCTGCCAACTTAATCACAAGCATTTTGCTCTCCTCTTCCTCAGTCCTTCAAACTGGAACTAGGTTCCCACAACTGAATTTTGTTCTGGTGTGGTGTAGTGTATGTACTATGTATTTGCTGGTTTAAACAGTATTGAGTCTGTAATCCTTGAACAGTAAATACAGCTAGGAATGAAAGCCAGAGCAAACATTTGCACATTCACTTAATGCTAATGAGAGCTCAAATGCAACTTAAGTCCCCTTCCCAATAAAAACAAAGGTTTGCTGGTGATGATCACAGTGAAAACCTAGATCACTTCTGAGAACATTACTTTCATAAGTATTTAGTCTTTCCTAACAGGTTCAAATTCAAGACATCGAAAACTAAATATTCTTTTACAAAAATATTAGTTTTATAGATGAGGCATAATTGTTTCTAAAATGAATATATTTTCAGTAGATTTAGCTTCATTTATAGCTTAATGTTGTCTGTATTCTTGGTTAGGACTTGCAAGTAGACATCATGAATAGTGCTGAGAAAACGGGAATCATTCTGCAGGAAAAAAAAACCACATTAGAAACATTACTAAAAAGATGCAAAAAAAAAGTTTAATTTAATGCCATTTAAGTTGTGCATAAGGATTCCTTATAGTGCTAGCTATCTGAGAGTTAAGAGAAGGGAACTAGCAGCATACTTGTACAAAAGGCAATGCTTTTTGGACAACATACAGACTTTGAACCATGAAGCTGGTAAGACGGCTAAAGAGATCACTAAGCACACTGGATGCTCAAACAAACAAAACAGGGGTCACTAGGTCTGCCTCGGCCATATAATTTCACTGCCCTCCAGAGTCCAAACCTTAGCCTTAGACACAGAGAATTCCATCCTGTGTACAGGTCCCTAAATAAAGTCTGCACAGGTGTCCAAAGTAATGTTATTTCTGCTTGTCCGACCAGCCTGAAAGGGATTGCAGCATGTTATACAAGAATTCTCATGTCAAAGCATGACTGGGAAGTGAATTAGTTTAATCTATAGATAACATTTAGAGCTATTTCTTGAGTCCAATTCCTTCAAATGGCAAATATACAAAACTGGTATCTAATCAGCTAGCTTGAACATGTAATATTCTTTTCACAAGATCTGCACAGCAAATTTGGCATCCTGCTGAAAGCTGTGCAAGTACTCCCATGCTGCAGGATATGCCTATTTTGGTTTTCATTCAGCTATCTGTCTATATAAAGAGAAGACTGGAGACAAATATTCCAATCAGCTCTCTAAAGTCACCACAATGACCACAATGATGTTCTTCAGACTACCGGGCAAGAATCGGTGCGCTATGTCTCTAATGACAATAAGACTTCTGGTAGCTGAGCTCAGTTGCAAGACTTGCAAGTAAGCCAGTTTAAGTCTTTAAAGAGAAAAAACCATGAACACCAATACACAAAAAGTTTATGCAAAAAGGAACAACACAGATAAATCAGGCGACCCAGCTAACGATGGGATCTAGTAGTAGCCCTTTTCGGTCCTACCAACTTTATCGCTGGGAAGATAATGTTAATTTTAAACTCGCATTTTGGGCATAAGCTCTACTAACATCAGCATGGAGGGGGCAAGAGAATACCGAGTTAACAAAGAATTGTTTGCCACATCACCATGACATTAGAGGTCAAAATGATCTCAATGCATGGCTACTCCCACCACCACAGATTTAAGTCAACTGAACATTTTAGTCCCTAGAAATAGCAGAACTAGAACTTTGCAATTTCCATTTCAAAGACACAAACTTCAGCTAAAGATCAGGAACAGTTCCAGGGAACTGGAAAAAGGAAAGTTTTCCTTGAGAAAGCA